TCTTCTTCCCCACAACACATTAAAGAAAATGGAGCATTTTGAAAATAAGATGCCAGCCCTTTGTTTTGAAATGAGTAAATTTAGTATCCTACCATTTGCCAGATTCAACATTAGGAAGTTATAGATGAAAGTTAAAGGTTGAATTCTGAAAAATTCAGTTAATGTTGTATTAGCTGACAAATGAGGCAAAAATGAGCTTACACTTGCATTGATAATTGTAAATTAATATTTTATTATGGTCTGAACACAGTGATCCATAATTATTTTGTAGAACTTTTTTATTCCGTTTTATATAATAGTTGTACACTTAGAGAAAAGTTAGGGTATTCGGAAAGTAAGACAATATCCGGGAAATGTCCTTACTTACGGATAATGTACATGGCACAGCATAGGAATAAAAACACTGTAGACCTGTCAGAGACAGACCGACAGGGTAAACAGATGGTTTGGAAACAGACCTACACAAATACAGAGTTAAATATATGACAATGGTGGCGCTTCAGAATAGGGGGAAATATACTACTACACACAAACAGATTTGGAACAATTAGTCATTTAGGGAGAAAAAAAATCCAAATCTTTCCCTCATTCGATCCCAAAACAAAAAATTAGCATAGGGCCTGTCACATGTTATTCCGTAACCTTTGGGCTCTATTTTAATTCACTGTTAAATTTTGACGTATTATTTTTACTAGAATAAACATTCTCATTGTGGAAGTAATATGGAGATTTATAAGAAATATGCTAATAACTTCTCTCCTCTCCTCCCTCAGCCTCAGTCAATGAAGGAGATTAAGTTTAATTAAATCCTCCTAATCCATGCTCAGTTTATATATAAGTTTGAATTTCTTCTAAAGAGAGCGCCATGCTATTCATATTAAGATGCTGCTTACGCTTCTTCACTTAATAAGGATATACTTCTAGATCAATAAATATAACAGCAACGCATTTCTAAAACATAGACATAACATTCTATAAAATATAGTGTAACAGAGTTGGCAATCTTTTTAAATGATGGGCACTCTAGTTGTCTCGAGTTTTCTGCTATTCCAAAACAATCCTACAATTGCTACAATCACTGCTCCTGTGGTAGGCTATTACACGGTGGTACTTTTATTTCTCTCGGAAGGACAAATAATAAAGCATTTCTGGCACAACAGTATATAATTGTGTGCAAGAGTCAAGCATTTCCCCACCATTTGAGACTTCCTGTTTTCTTCCGACTGAATGGCATGGAGGTTACTGAGCTGTTTACCTTCAACAATCAGAGGAGAAGGAACTGGTGTCCCGTCCTCTGGCCGACCTACTTCTGAGCAATGTGAAAGGTTCCCCTCCCCTCTGTCATTATTAATCACTGCATCACCTCTCCATAAGGTTTATAACTTTTGCCTTTGCATCGCCTGAGTTGGCTTATTAATCTCTTTCACATTTTCAGAAACTCTTTTGATTAACAGAGAAGTTACCAGTTAGCCTTACACGTGCGTGGCAAGAGAATTTTCACTTGGTTTCCTGTTTGGGTAGTCGTTATGTTAGAAATACATTTTAAAATGCATACCGCAAAATTTGCTCTCACTTAGTTTAGAGCTTCACAGTTATCCTTTCCCATGTTCCTTTCTATAGGGAAAAGCATAATCCATATGACATTTGTCAGATGGCCTGGCCGAGGATCCTAAAGTCAAAATTGTACAGAGCCACGTTTCAGAGCCCATCCTCCTCCAAAGGAACTGAAATGTCCCCTTCATTATACAGTAGCATTATGTTCTCACATTCACTTGGTTCTATTTGCAAACTTTCATCTGTTCCGGAACCGTGTATCCTTCTACCAACACCTCATTGATTTGAGTAGAGTAGCCTTTCAGGGAATTTCAATATCTGATATGGCAGATCTTCCAGTCTTATTTTTCAGAAGCTTCTCACAAGTATCGATATTACTGATACTTACAACAATGACAATAATTCTGACCGTGACTTTCACCAGGGATCTGTGCTAAAGACTTCCATCTCACACTGAGTCTATCTGTAGTCAAGCGTCTCTCTAACGTTATATTACATTTATTTATCTGAATATAAAAGGCACACAAAAGCACAGAGATTCTATTAAATATGCAAAACAGTGGAAAAATCAACACTTTCCAGTTTCATGTAACATTAAAAAAAAACAACAAAAGAAAATTCCGCTGTTTAAAACGAAGCAAACAACACAACGTCTTTAAAAGCAGCGACTCCCCCGCCTCCAGCCGCCCACTGCATTACAGACTGACCCCAGGCATTCTATAAAGTGCTGCTTTCTGCTCAAAGGGAAACAAGCAAGAAACACAGCCCAGCCTCCCAGCCTGGTGGCTCGGAAAGGCGAGCTTCCAGTGCAGAGACAACCCCAACAACCCCTCAGAGGAGCCAGGGAGACCCAGGGAGGCGGGAGGCGGACCGCCTGCACCTTTGGAAGCCAGTGCTCCCTCCCAGGGTGGAAGAGAGAGGGGAAGTCCCGGCCTACACACTCCACAGGATCACAGAGCCCAGCACAATGGGACAGAATGGCCTCTATTCTGGAGACTAAGCTCATGGAGTCTGGGGACCCAGCTACCCTCCGCCTAGGGTGAGGTCCGCAGCAGAGTGAGGTGGAAAGGCCTACGTTGCTCACTGCTGAGGAGCCTGAGAGGCTGCGGGCTTCACAGCAAGAGCGCTGGCCGGGGCCATTGCCACAGGGATGCCGCACCAGCACAGCCTCCAAAGGGCCCTCCCGCCTGGGAGACTGCCTTCCCACTCAGTCAGCGCCAAATAGCGCCCCCCGGAGAGAAAGCTGAGGAGCTCAACACCGAGTGCAGCGCTTCTTGGGGACAAAGGAACCAGACAGACACCTGTCTACTTCAGAGATGATTCTGATCTTGATTAGACATTTTATAAACTTGTCACAGGACATTATTCCCTTTCTGTCTTTTTTTAAATTTAATTCTGAATGAAGGGGGCACACACTATTAGAATCTCAGAGCTACTGTTGAATGTTAGACTGTCTGGGGAGAATTCTCTGTCCTGGGTCACATTTCTGACCTCTCTCATGCTTATACCCAACCAGTACTGCCTTGGGTCTCACTGTCGCCAACACACACTGGACTTCAAACTTTACTTCCCTCCTTTTCTCGTGAGGTTATAATTAAGGAAGATTTCCTATGTATGTCTCACATAAGCCCTTTATTTTCACCTCTGACAAAATTCCTGTGAGGATGTCTGTTTGGGATACTCCAACATTCATACATGAGATCCCTCCCCAGAATCCATCTTATTAGTTACAAAACAAATACATCACATTGAATATTTCGTATCATCTATGGGATTAAATCTCAAATACTGAGCACAGAATTCAAATTTTTTCACAATCTAATCCCAATCCAATGGCCTTATCTCTATCCTAGCCACAGTGAATTGATTACATTTCTCTTAAACTTGATACGTACACACCCACATTTCCAGCTTTTTCAAATGCTAAATACTCTTTCTGGGTTGCAACATTAACCACACTGAATTATGGTTATTCTTTGAACATATATGTTCTTGCTCATAGATTATGAACTTCAAAAAGGCAGGTGTGTATGGTACACAGTAGATGTTCAACAAATGACAACTACAAAAGTAGTAAATACTTATATGGTATTTACCATATTGAGTGAAGAGGGAAATTAATACTGCCACATCAACAAAATATTTCCTAGATAATTAGTATGTTAGAGATTTTCACCTACAAGTATCATTCCGTATATACCACAACCGTGTACGACAAATCCTATTTTTCATAAATAAAACTAAGGAGATAAGCCCAACCTGCATGGCTCAGAGGTTGTGCACTGACCTATGAACCACGAGGTTATGTTTTGATTCGTGGCCAGGCACAGGCCCGGGTTGCAGGCTCGATCTTTAGTGGGGCGTGCAGGAGGCAGCCGGTCCATGATTTTCTCTCATTACTGATGTTTCTCTCTCTCTCTCTCTCTCCCATCTCCCTTCCTCTCTGAAATCAATAAAATAAATATATTTTTTTAAAGTAAAGAGATAAGTAGTTTTTCCTGCATTCATTCTAAGAGGTCAAACTAAAAATTCCACTGAGATATCAAATCCCAATAAATCTGATGATGTCGGTTAATACCATGACCTTTACCCCAGTAACAGCCTCAGTAATAATTCTTTTGAAATTCTACAGCTATATAAATGTATTTATTTTTCTCCTAAACGATCTTTTAAAAGCTAATTGACATATTGAGAAATGATCTCTATCTCTGAGAAGCCGCCCGGGCTCTGTGGCGTCTGGAACGGAGTGGGAGCCGGTGGCAGATCCTCAGATCCTCAGGGAAGACTTCCTCCGGGCTTGTTAAAGGATCAGACACAACAAAAGGTGCGATTAATTAACCATCCAATCAATCCGCCACGCACTCCGTGAGTGAGACTGGGCTTAGCCTGACATTGATGTAAAAACAAAGAAAACACTTAGAGACCCAAGTCCTTTCGTCCTGCTCCCTCCGCTTTCCACCCCGGCTCATAGGTGGTGGGATATTTCCTGTTTGCAGCCCTACCGGCCTCTGGTTTACTCCGCGTCTCCGACAAATGACTGCAGGCAGCAGAATGGGGAGTCCATCCCGCTCCTTTGCTGCCTCCGTGGGCCAGACGCTGAAACAAAGACATTCCCCAAGGAGAAGCGTGCTGCGTGGTCGGTGGCAGATCCACCAGAAGCAGCGAGCTCGCTGACCCTGGAGTCCACGGAGTCGGTGAACACCTACTATGTGACACAGCGTTCATTTCAACACGCACTAAAACAGGACGCATGTCCACACGCATCACATCACGGCGTGGGGGGCTCAGTGATGGCAGGCGCCACGTTTCCGCCCCCCCTGTGGGCCCCGCATTTCCAATCTTCCCCCATCTGCTAAGGCCGCTTCATGCTTTCCCCGCAGGCCACCACCGAGGCCTGGGTCAGCGGTGCTGTGAGGCGGCACCTGCAGCCCTGAGTCTGAGCTCACCTTGTTCGCGATGCTGGTGATGAAGGACTTGATGTCCAGGTTCGTCGGGCAGCTCTTCTGACACGGGGCGTCCGCACACTTGAGGCATCTGGGAAGAGAAGTTACAACTGGGTAGAGAATGACCAAGTAACTGAGACATATTCTATTATCCGCCCTACCCCCAGCCAGCGCGAGGGGACAGTGAGGACAAGTAAAACGGAACCGCTTTCAGGTACAAAATCTTTGTAAGCGGGAAAGTAAACATAGTCTTTACCCTGTTCACGCCTACGGAGATGTAGACAGTGGCAGGCTGACAGCCACCCTGCTCTCCTTTTCCTCCTCAGAGCTTTGGAGGTTCAGTCTTAAAGGTCTGACCTTCAGCCCGTTTGGCTCAGTGATCAGAGTGCCAGCCCTCCAACTGAAGGGTCACGGGTTCGAGACTGGTCAAGGGCACAAACCTGATCCCCAGCCTGGATGGGACACATGCAAGAAGCAACCAATAAGTGTGCCTCTCACATGGATGTTGCTCTCTCTCCCCCTCCCTTCCACTCCCTCTAAAAATCAATGGGAAAATATCCTCAGGTGCACATTAACAGCATAAAGACCCACCACTAACTCACTGACCAAATCAGTCTTGTTTTGCTCCCTCACCACGCGAGAAGCCCTGGAGAATGCAATCTTTTGCGATAAAAGTTCTGTCTGCTTGTACAGCACAATCAGCACAGAGCAAAGAGGTAACGTCCCTCATCTTACCACTTGGAGCATCCTTTCTTCCTCCCATAACCCCCTCCACCCCCCTTTCCTCGTCCCCTTTTTCTTTTGCTTTCGCCATCCCTCCCTGTCCAATTTCCTCATGTCTTTCACCCACACGCTATTCACATGGCAACTGGCTCTGCGGCAGCTGATGGGGGCAGGCCCACACCCACCTCCTTCCACTGGACCTTTTATTCCCTCCAGGGCTGTGGCCTTGGCTGCAGAACAGGCTCGGCCAAGATCAAGCTCCTTGTCCGAGGCAGGCCATGTGCGTTACAGGCCAGTGAGGGGTCCGAGGCCCAGCCCTGCCCTCATTTGAGGAGCAGATCTGCAATGGGGATTGGCTCTGTCCGTCCAACCTCCATTCCTTCCTCTGTACAGAGATTGATGGTCTGCCAAACCGCCCCACACCCGTCTCATCTCAGAATCCAACCAGCTGGGAAGCTTGGCCTATGCCACAGGGCCCACAGGCTGAGGGGTGGCCTGGGAACCTGAATTTCCAAGGGAAAAAACATTTGAGATGATTCTAATGTCCATGGCTGGACCCACTTATGAGAATTACAATTCTACAATGACTCCTTCCAGACGGAAATTGGGTAGGACGGTCTGTCATTCACATATTAATGCCAGCTTGTTCATTTACTCATCTTTTCTGAAATAGTTAATGAGCCCAGCCGGTGTGGCTCAGTGGTTAAGCTTCAACCTATGAACCAGAAAGTTATGGTTCTGTCCCCCGTCAGAGCACAGGCCTGGGTTTACGGGCTCGATCCCCAGGAGACAGATGTTCAATAATCCTCTCTCATCACTGATGTTTCTATTTCTTTCCCCCTCTCCCTTCCTCTCTGACATAAAAATGAATTTAAGAAAAGGAATCCGTGGGCGTAGGGAAGTGAAGGAGGGTGGATTTGGAGTTCAGGGTCACTCAAGACTAGAACCTGAGAACAGAACATGATGGTGCGTGAACCAGTGGGATCCGGTCTGGTACAGAGGGAGAGGGGGAGGAGGGAAAAGTCAGACCGGAGACCTGACACGTAAGCTGTCTCCCTGTCACATCCCTCAGGAGACCAGGGTTCTCTGAGGATTTCTCTGAGGAGGAGTCCCCCGCGGCTCCGCTGACAGGGGCGGCCGCAGCTCCCTGTCCAGCCCCTTCCCTGCGCGAGGACCTGGGCTCCTTTCCTCGGGAAAGCAGCGCCAGGCCTGTCCTCCGACTGGAGCGGAAGAGAACGCTTCCTCAGCGGACCCAGCTTCCCGGGCCTAATTAATATCTTGTTTCTACATCTGATCTCCTCTCTCTCGCCTGTGCCCTCAGCCTTCTCTCTAAATTAAATTCTACACAATGAGTTCCGAAGGCTTTTCATAACCAATTGTCCTCTCCGAGGCGGAGTCCTGAAACCGCTCTCCCGTCCTGTCTCTGACTGTGGAGACCCCTATCTCCTCGTACTCATGGCTTCCCCCTAAAACCATGCCGCTGAGAAATCCTTCAGGAAGGATCTCTGGACAGCGTGGCCCGCAGCGGGCGGCGCCCAAGGAGCCGAACGCAGGCCCGTTCGGTCCGAGACGCCGACGGAGGTGACACTGCGTGACCTTCGCACGAGGCGCTGCGCTGGGCACCAACAGCGGTCGGAAAGGATGGCCTGGGCTGCAATGAAATGAAAGCGCTGAAAATGTAGCCGTCTTAAACGCCTTCCAATTTATTCTTTTCAAAGCCACTTCTCCAGCTTTTTAAATACCTGTCGCTGAGCAGAAACACAGCCACAGACACACGCAGCCGCGCTCTCCCTAATGGAGTCACGGTTTCTGCCTTCCCTCCACCACCCCCACCGCCAGCCTGAATAACCTGGCAACTGCGAAATAAAGCTATAGCGCCGGCAGGTATGAGTGAGGCGCATTCGTGTCCGGCGTGGGTTTCGCTAGGCTTCCAGAAAGATCTTACATTCGACCCAAACACATTCGCCCCCGCAGCCCTGACACAGGCCAGGCTCTCGGTTGTGGTTCTTAAGCCTCTTTACCAAATCACTCTCCTTTACTGTGGAGCCGGTTCACAAATAACAGCTGTTGCAAATGTCAGATGTTAATGAGGCGGGCGAGCAGGCCCGGATTGCAGCATCCTTTTTTATTTTTTATTTTTCCTCCGGTGCATGCACATGCCGGGAATCGGCTGCCTCTGATAATAACACCGTCTTGCAATTCTCCGAGCGCGCGGCAGCCCTAGAGTGCACGGGCTGCCATTAATCCCACTTATCACTCTGACGGCTCCGTGATTACCCTCCGCCGGAGCAGGTAGGCCTAATAGAGCAGCAGCCGCCGCGCGGGCACGCACGCGGCGAGATGTTTTATTAAACGTGGTGGGGGTTGATCATCCGGCGACATTCCTGTTGACCTATTTTTCTATTTGGCTATAAATTATCCTCTGACCACGCCATAATAGGTATCGCGGAGTGCATTTGCGGCCCCCAATCAGAGCGGCGCCACATCACAGCGATGGAGGCAAATGGTGTAAATAAAATAGCAGAAATGCATGTCAGACTGTTATTACCCAAATTGCTCCAAATGACTGATATGGTGAAAAATCGCAGGCACTGTACTTAGGGGAATATGTCACCAATTATTGCCAACCACACTTCCACGTACATTTCCCCCCTCGAAGTGACGCTTAAATGACTCATCTTTATCTTTCGTCATTTAATTCCCCCTCCATGTCTCAACGTTACTCTGTTATAAGGTAGTTTATTTTTACATATGTCGCAAAGGGGGAGAATTAATTCCGACAAACCATGATGTAATATTTTAATCCCCAAATAATTGCATTTATACGAAGAGAAGCTTATAGTAGGTTATGTTTGAGAGCAATGAAACATCTTAGATTTTTCACTCCTGATAAACTTTTCTCATTTCCATCATGAATAGTGAGCATCACAATGGATTTCATTAAAAGCAAAATATAGGGTCCTTAATGGTGTTAATTCTTCATGATTCAGTCTGACCATTGAAATTTGTACAAAATGTTAGTATCGCTACTTACGGGACAAAAATAATTGGAGACGTATCAATCGAGAATCTTCTCAGAGAAAGAGGGCCAAGAGGCCTGTTCCCAAATGCCAGTGGGGCCGAGCAGGTGTACTCCACAGCAGGACACCGGCGATGAGCGAGGAAGGAACGCCGGCAGGCCCTCCCTTAGGCACCCGGTGCAGGGGCCTGGGTCTTTTACCCTGATGCACCTCAGCAGCTGGAATTGCAGCCTACACTTGCTAAAGAGTTTTCTAACTCATGTGTTTAAATAAGAATTTTTCAGTTAAAAAAAAATCACAAAATCTACTTGAAAACCTTAAAACTTCCTACTGTATTTTCTTTGTTTTTGTTTTGCTAGACTTTGGTTCAATAAAGTCAGCCCTGCTCATCAAGCTAGGTGTCTACATATATAAAAGCCTAATGTGCAAATTGTCCTTGCAGGAGTTCCACCAGGAGACTGATCGCTCGTTATGGCCTGCGCTGACCACCAGGGGGCGGAGGAAGGGATGCCTCAGCCGGCAGCTGGAAGGCTGCAATCGCCAGCCAGGCCTAGAGACCCTGCCGTGCACAAATTTCACGTATCGGGCCTCTACTAATCTATATTAGTCTGTATGCAACCAAACTGGGCAAGTTAGCACCTACATTAAAAAGTTAAAATGTCTTCCTCGTATGGATGCATTTCCTCAGCTCGGTGTTCAGCTCCCTCATTTGGAATGTGTGAGTGAGTGAGAGGCAGCATTTGGGTGAGGGTCTGACTTCCTCACCCTAAAACCACCATGTACATAACTTCCTCACCCTAAAACCACCATGTACATAACTTCCTCACCCTAAAACCACCATGTACATAACTATATAGTCCAATGTCTTCCCCCAACTAGGCAACATTTCTCTGGAACCCGAGCAGATGTGAACATCCACAAACGAGAGGGAAGTAGAGTGACTAGAGGCAGGGAGGTTAGAAATGTCACCCATGTGTCTGAGTTCCCCAGCTTGGTCCCCTTAGCCAGATCCTGTCATGACAAAAGGGCCCAAGAAAGATGGTTGGTCTCTTTAAAACACAACGGAACGAAACTAACGTAGTGTCCTGATATGTTCAACAGTCAAGAGCCATTCTCAGTTTGGAAACAGCCCAAGTGCCCATCAGTAGAGGAGCAGATGAAAAGCTGTGGGACATTTACACCATGGAATACTATGCAGCTGGAAAGGAGGAGGAGGAGGATGAGGAGGAGGAGGAGGAGGAGGAGAAGGAGGAGGAGGAGGAGCAGCAGGAGGAGGAGGAGGAGGGTCTCTTACCCTTTGGGACAGCATGGATGGACATGGACACCATTACGCTAAGTGAAATAAGCC